TTGATATCAAATTTTGGACGATTCTTGGGAAGAATCAAAGAGTTTTGACTTGTTCTCCAAGCATCAATCAATGAAGAACCCCAACAGAGTTAGTTCACAAAAAATCATCGTTTTCAGGTTCTTTTTGCATTCTTTTAATTTAGTTTCGATTCCTTCTTATTAGTTTGTTGTTTTCATTCATCAAAATGCAAAAAAAAAATCCAGAAAAAGAAAATGAAGGAATTTGGAGATGTTTTTTTTACAGGATCATACCCCATACATAGAAGGTTCAACAGTCCAAAATTCATCCAAATCGGAGTTTATTCAATCCCTCAAATCGACCATTCTAGTTTATTCGACAGATTCACGTTGCTCGCACTATTAGATTTTTTCAAAAGGAATTTCATGCTGAAAATTTCCAAATCACAACTAGACTCACTAGAGAACATCCACCAAAAATTCAGAATTTTTGGATATCGGCAACCCCTTAAAAATGTTGCTCAAGTTGATCCAGCATTTTAGGTTTTGTTATGGGTTTGGGATTTTCCATAAATTTTTCTTTGACTCCTATTGCTTCTAGGTTCTTCTGTTATACATTTTTTTGTTCCTTTACACAATCTAACACATTCTTTTTCTTGTGTTAGTAGGATTCAAAGAGTTTGCACACTTTTTCTTCCTTGCATTCTCGTTCACTTGGAGTCTCTCTTTCCTTGGCCTCTTAGAACTCCTAAGTTTTCTTATCTTCTTTTTGTTAGTGATCAAACTCCTATACGAACATTGAAAGACTCTTGGAGAGAAAAAGTTTTAAAGAGTACAAGATCGATTTTATTGCCTATCGTTGTGTTGCTTCCTTGGAGTGACTTGTGAGGTTTTTATTTTATTTTTTCCAATTTAAATTTTTCTTTGAGTGTTGTGATTCTCATGATGGAAAACGAAGTAAACATCATCCAAACCCTTCAAGCTCTATTGTAGTCAATAGAAGCCATGAGAGAACAATTTACTGAACTCAACACCACATTACGACTACAATAACAACAACCACCTAAGATCGATCCATCGAGATAACCCACTGATGGTTCCTAGATGTGCCCTACCTAGGTTTCAAACGCCGAAAGATTTTGCAAAGCCAAAATTCAAAATTCCATCTTTCAGTGAAGAATATGATCTGAACGGCTACGTTGATTGGGAAGGGAAAGTTGATCTCATGTTCTCATACCATGAATGTCCTCTATAAGAGCATGTAGCACTCATAACCATGGAGTTCATAGGATATGCTCACACATGGTTGATGCAGACACGAAGAGCAATTCAAGATCACCGAATCCAGAATATTATCTTGTAAGAACTATTGAAGAATGTTATGCAAAGTCGTTTTCTTCCGACAAACAACACAAGAGAAGTGAAATAATGGCTTCACCGACTTCAACAATGAAGAAATTCAGTTGAAGACTACTACAAGGAGATGCAATCCTTGTCGAATAAAGTAAACATAAATTAAGACGAAGAAGATACAGTCTCAAGATTTGTTAGCGGCTTATACACAAACATAAATGATCTTCTTGAGATAAATGGATATGTAAACCTTGAAGTAACATTGAAAGAGCCATAACAATTGAAGCACAACTTCAAAGGAAATTTTGAATCCGAGAAAACTACCAAGATACTTCATCTTCTTCCTTTGGTAATTCATCCAAACCCTCTTCATCTTCTACCTTTTCTTCTGTCGCGAGTAAAACAAGGGATGAAAAGCCCAATAGGGCTAAAAAAATATGGTTAAAAACCCTAAAAAGTTCTACAATACAAAAACCTCTTGCATCAAATGCAAAGGTTATGGCCATATCAGTCGCGATTGTCCGAATATGAGAACAATGGTAATCCGAGAAGAGAATGATGAATTAACGGATACCGAAACAGATTATCCCGAGGCTTTGGAAAACAATGCGCCAAATCACTTAGACAATGATGAATTTGACACATATTGCATGGTTGTAAGGTAAAATTTGAGTTTACAAATAGTTAATGACTCAGATATTCAACGAACAAACATCTTCCAGACAAGATGTCAAATTAAAGAGAAAATATACTCATTGATCATTGACAATGGAAGTTGTATCAATGTGATCAGTAGTTACTTGGTGGACACACTTAACTTGCCTTGTCAAAGACATCCAAAGCCATATTGTTTACAGTGGCTCACTGAGAGTGTTGAGTTGAAGGTGACGAAACAATGCCTAGTTAGTTAAAACGAGCAAGTATTGCGATGATGTTTGGTGTGATATACTTCCAATGCAAGCATCTCACATCCTTTTGGGACGACTATGGCAATATGACAATGACGTCACTTACTATGGTAAAGCAAACAATACTCCGTCATCATCAAAGGTAAGCCTTACACGCTCAATCCAACGCATCCAAAGGACATCATGCAAGATCAAAACAGAACTCGTGAAGAGATTGGGAATTTAAAGAAAAAGGCAAAACAAAATGAGGTCACAACCCATTAAAGCCAAAAGAATGACTCACGGGAGGTAAGTGATCCTATTTATGAGAAGAAGAAAAAAAGTGATTCAAAAAATAGATGTGAGCACAAAATTATTGAGAGTGAACGTCTTGCATCCTTATTTCGTTATGAGCGTGAATGGGATCCAATGTGTAAAATCTGTCCCATACGAATTTCCTTTGGGAGAGGGCATTGATTGTCTTTCTGAGCGTGAGGTGAATTTGAAGAATGGATCAAGGGACTGACGAGCAAAGCAGGTGCAATAGAGATTCTTGATCAAAGGGTTTTAGCAAGGTCGACAGATGAGAATTTATCGAATGAGGTGGTGTTAAGTCCGTGCAGCGGTCATGCAGTAGAGGATATTCGTAATATGGGTTTAAGGCATGTGGGGAAAGGGCATGATCAACACGTAACGGTTCTTCTCGGAAGGAAAATAGATCTATGAGGGATATTCATAATAATTTTTGTCGGCTTCTAATAGAAATAGAAGGAACAAAGCTTTAAAGAAAAAATCTTCTAAGGTTTTGAGTGATTCATGTAAATCGGAAGATATCTCTTTGTCTGACTCAGATCTTAAGAATCGCAAAATTTTAATCCTTATGGAAGCCGAGTAAGTATGGGCATTTGGGAAGAAACTGGGCATTGAAATTGAAGGTGATGAGCGGGAAATTATTTTGGAGCTTGTAAAATTAGATGGATTTTAGTTTTCAGACTTCGAACGCGAGGTTCGTTTGGTTTTAAGATGGCTTAAGAGTAGTCTCAATTCAGTTTAGATTTTAAAAATCGTTTGAAAGTGATACTGTAAGTAGCTTTTCTTGTTGGCGCCGAACAAGTCGTAGTTCTTGAACTAGGCAAGTTGGTTGGGCTGTAGAAGTTAGGGGTGATGTCTCGTTTTTTAGTGCCTGTGTTGGTGCTGGAGGGTTTATCTGGCTTTGGCGCATACACTGTTGTTTGTTGGAGACGATATTTTATCTTTTTTGGGGTATGATAAATGAGTAGGTGCTATCTTTGATTAATCTGTGTTGCTTTCCAAGTCTTTGCTTTGTGAAGAGTAGTCCAAATCAGCTCGCCCCGTGGATACAATGTCTAAGGGTTGTTTGGTTCAAGGTATATCTTATTATCGAAGGAATGTAATCTTCATTCTCCCGTTTTTTTATTTGGCCAACATTCTCAGCCCCCGGTAATCTTTTATTACCAATAGTGAATTTAATGTTTAAGGGGTTATTTGGTTCAAGGTATATCTTATTACCGGAGAAATGTAATCTTCATTCTCCCGTTTTTTTATTTGGCCAACATTCTCAGCCTCGGTAATCTTTTATTACCAATAGTAGATTTTTGGGGTATATTACCAGGATATGATTACCCATTTTCCTTAGGTATTATTGGATTACCGACGTTTTTGACTAAAATGTTCTTAAATTTTTTTCTTCAAAAATAGCATTCTTCTGTAGTTAAATAATAAAAATTCTACGAAGGTTAAATTACAAAGTTATCCTTAAACTATTTTAGATTTACAAAAGAAACCTATAATTAAAATTTTATATGAAGTTTAGGGGTTAAAATAAAATTTTACCCTTTCATCAAACCTATTTATCTTTTCAATTTTGTAATAAAATTTTATGAATTTAAATTTTTTAAAGAAAATATATAAATTACTTATACTTATATTATAGTAAAATTCAACTCGTTAAAAAACCAAATATATAATAAGGAAAATTTGGTAAAATATATATTCTAATAATATTTTATTCCTTTAACCAAACATTGTAATCTTATATTTCTGCTAAACCAACCAAATACAAAATACAACATTCCCAGTAATCCTATTCCCCGGTAATCTTACATTCCGTGAACCAAACGCACCCTAAGGGTATTTTGATTTTTATTTGGTTCTTCAAGGAGATGTTCCAAGCTTTTTCCATTGTTGTTGTCTTGGAGATGTAATGTAAATTTTTGACCGGTGCTGTCTTTTGAGTCATTCGTCGCTGCTTGGGATACATGCTCTTTTAGTGGGAGTGCTTGTGGATTGTTTCAGTGCATGTTTGATTGCTGGAGCATGGTTTGTAGCAGGTGAAGGGCGCGGATTTTTGTTCTTCGAGCATCCTCTTTGTGTTTTGATTTTGATCGATGAATCTTGGGGTGGGCTCTTGGTGTCTCGAGTTGCTCCTGAAAGAAGTGCAGTTTGAGGTTGGTAGTTGTGCTGTAGATTTCGCTTGTTTCATTTCAAATCTTGCTTTCGGAGCTGGTGTTGTAGTGTAAAATGAACGTGAAATTGGTTATCTTGTGTTATTTCAATTCCTTGTCCATTTAAGATGATTGTAAGATGGACAACGGTAAGGTAAGGTGCACTTTTTTCTTCTATTTAAGTTTAGGGAGATTTTTTAACGATATATTTACGATTGTTTTTTTATTTTTGTATGTGTTATCTTTTACTGCATACAAAACCCCTTTCAAAAAAATAATAATTTATGATATGTTTTGTTCTATATAAAACCAGATAAAAAGTACATACTACAAATTATTTCAGAAATTCCTTTAAAATCATATTTCAATCTTGTAGGAAGCGAGGCTCTGGAAATTATTCTTTCCCTACTGCCCGATACTCGAGCATATATATATATATATATATATAAACATCAAGCTTGAATGTGGGAAACATGACATGACAAAAAGTAAAAAAGAAAAGGACTAAACGGGCACCACAACGATAAAGTTTACCAATTACCCACACGATGGTAACAGAAACAACGGAGATTATGCAAGGATTGGTTGAGGGGCTTGGCTTCGAGCTTGGACTTGTCAATCTCCATCTCCTGCAGCTGTTGCTGCTCCTTAGCCAGCTTCTTCAGCCTGGCAAGCTCAAGATCTTTGCTCATCTTCCTTCTGTACATCTCGGCAAAGGTGATAGGCTCCTCCAGGATGGGTTTCTCTCCCTCTCTGATCTTCAATGGATACACAGTCGCGTCGGGTGCTGGGTTTTGGAACGTTGCTATTGACAACCTACTGCAGTCCGGGTTCACCACTGCTTGGTGGTCGGCGTTCTTAAACCTCCCATTGCTCAGATACTGCACAAGACATCAATAAGACATGGATAGACAAATGTGCAGTTGATCAGTTTTAACTTACATGGCCGTGATCTCCAAGGTTGACCACAAAGGCGCCTTCAACAGGTTTAACTGTGATCCAAGTCTTGCCATTGTCCCTGGTGGCCTGAAGTCCACCGACTTGGTCCTGAAGCAATAGGGTGATCGTCCCCGGGTCGGTGTGGCGCTTGAGTCCGAGAGTGAGGTCTGGTTGTGGACATTTCGGGTAGAAATTAACCACCACTTTCTGGTCCATGTCCAGACACGTCTTTGTCAAAGCCTCCTTCTCTAAACCCATGGCCTCCGACAGCACCTCAAGAAGCTTGCATGCTAGACCCATCAGCTTCTCGCTGTACTCCTTTGTCACCTCAATCCAACCCTCTGGCTTATCAGGCCACCTTGAATAGTCCCTGTTCTTCAATGGGTATGAAAAGTACGTCACAATCTCCCGCCAATCTTGCACCACTTCTCCCTGCAAGTACATACATATCAATCATTTTACGCCATGGGCATGATTACGAAAACTCGTTACAGTAAAAGGCAACTTACCTGGAGGTGGCTGGAGACAATGAAACCCCCTTTCTTACCACCAGACATGTCAAACCGTAGCTTATCTTCGGCAGGCAATGCGAAGAACTCTTTAGCAAGACGGGTCATGTCGGAAACGATTTTAGCGTCGACACCATGATCGACAATCTGGAAGACACCCCAATCCTCACAAGCCTCGACGATTTTCTTGCATATCTCATCCCTCTTGCCGTCGACATCATCGATGCCGGCAAGGGAGATAACGGGGATTGCGCCGCTGAATTGGTTGTAAGCGACCTTAGGACGCTCATCTTCGTCGCGAATGAAGCTTGCCTGTAAGGTTTTCTCCTCCGCAAGAGCCGTGAGAGTTGAAGGGGCCATTAATGTGTGGTGATATTTGAATAACGTGTCCCCTTTGCTTAAAAAGAGAGCGTTAAACGGATGTTTTTAAGTTTAGTTTTAGAACGGTCGTATGCGTTTGGGAGAGAATGGGGAGGGTTTATATAACATGGAGGAAGGTGAAAACTGGGCTCCTCGTTGAGCAGCTCTAACTACCTCTCTTGCCTCGTGACTCGTGGCCGACCGCACTGTCAGCTACCGATCTTTCCTCTTCCACAATTGGGACATTGTGTTGCGTTCTTGGTCTTGTATCATGTCAATTTAGATCAAATTAGTTTCTTCTTTTTAAGAATTTTATATTTCAATTATTCATTTTTAGTTACATTTTCAAGTAAAATTATGTTGTATTGTTTATTCAAGTCATCTTCAATTCAATTTTTTTTGGTTATTGCTTTCGATATTCTAATTAAAATTAAATAGATTTTATTGTAAATACTTTATGATCAAATCTATTAAAAATGGTAGATCCAAAAGCACGTAAGTATATTACCAGTTACAAAATTACTATAACTATTTATAAAAGTAATGCTGAAAATGAATTTATAATTCATTTGACTATCTAAATAATTTTATGAAAGGATTAAAAATACATACATTAACTCGTATTTTATTTTATAGATAAATAGATAGATAATGGTCTAGAATGATTATAGTGTATAATCTGTTCACTTGATATGTCCTACATATGTAGTATCATTTAAAAAATATATTTTATTATTATTATTACTCCTTAAATTCATATATTGCATTTGATTTAAATAATCATAAACTCGAAATGACTGTTAGGAATTAATTATAATTTTTTTGCACGAAACCGCAGTGTGATAAAATTGTTCACCGAAGGGGAAAAAAGGATGAGAAATAATAATTGTAGAAGTATTTTTTTTTTGCATATTTTGTTTATTAAGATAGATTAAAAACAATATTATAATTATAATTATAAAATATTAAAAAGATAAAAAGTTATTTAGACTTTTTATTTAAATATACTTTTCCTATCAAATATTTAAACAATAAATTATCATCAAACCATTAGATGACTGAGTGGACACACGTGCTTCATGTGTGTTGTATCTAACTCATAGCAGTCGGTAGGAGTTCTCAACTGATTTTATACGCATGTCTTATACGTATCGCCTTAATCAGGAACTATCATCGGGAGGGGTGAAAGCTAGTGAAAGGAATTTGGGGGTTGAAATTAAATTTTATTTTCAAGGGTTAGTATTATAATATATATTTTTAATTTAAATAATTCATTTTTAAAAAAAAAATTCATGAAATACACAATTGATTAGATGCATTTTCATACACATAATTTAAATCTTATAAAAATTATTCGACTAGAATCTGAGAAAAATACAATTAATTAAACATAGTTTTACACATGTAGCATTCAAACTCTAAAAAGATATTATTAACATGACATATTTTACTTATATGACAAAATTTGAAAAAATACATCTTACAAAAATATGTTTTGTTCGATTTTGAATAATACACTACCAAACTAATATTAACAAGGACCAAAGTGAAAATAAGAATAAATAATAAATAATAAATTTTATAAAAAAATGTATAATATATAACGAAGAAGACGACGACGATGATGACAACAACAACAACAATATTAATAATAATAATAATAATAATAATAATAATAATAATAATAATAATAATGTATAAAATTTATCTCTAACAGCTTCATTAATAGATTACTAAATCTATGTCTGCCCCACCTTTAGTGCGTACCTACGACGAGGTGACTTTTGACCGACCCTCATCGTACGAGGCACTGTCTTGCCAAAATCTTATTAAAAACTAAGTTTTGCTTAAAGTGGAGGTTGGTAACTTATTTATGTTAATCACATGAAAACGAATCCTACGCGTCTAAGGTATTCATAAATTGTATGAATCAATTTATTTTGATATTTAAAGAAAATTATTATTTCTAGAAGTTACGAATACGAACATCAATAACTGCAACTAGACAATTGAGTGTTCATCCTCAAATAACTTATAATATTTAAAACACATATTACTTTATAATCACTTTAACTTAATTAAGAAAAAAATATTCAAAAATTGGATGTAACATTAAAATTACGTGTATATAATCAAAGAGGGGTTAGGTTGGTTTGGTTGCACATTGTTGGAAGTCTATATGTCACACGACCTCACCTAACGTACCTTATTATTTATGATATCAACTAGTATTTAGTTTGTGTTATATTTTATGTTTAAATGCTCTTTTGTTTGATTATGTTTATTAATGATTTGGATATTTTTATATGTTTTATGTGTAAGATAATGACTTTAGGAAAATATGTTTAAAAGGGCCGAAAACTGCATTTTTTGGTCTATAATCAAGACTGGAATAATGGGCATGAAATGTTGACGTGGCAATGAGTCAACAGCATCTAATTAGCAGCTTCCATAAGTTGGACATACATACGAGTTTTTCAAGCAATTCAAAATTCAAGATTTTTGTATTATCTTTAGGAATTTATTTCAAATTATTTTTAGAATTTTCTTATGCTTAATCTAGGGTTTTAGAAGGATATAAATATCCTCTAAGGGTAAGCCTTGTTCATTATTTGTTCTTCATTCAATATCTTTCAAACTCGCTTTTTTTCTATCTTTTTATAAAATTTCTTTCTTTGTTATTTTTTGTTAAGCTTTGTTTTTAAAATGCTAAGTATGACTTTGATCGTGCTTAGCTAATTTTCTTCTAAGCCAGGGGCTAAGCGATGATTCAGTTCTAACGTGAGAATTGAAAAACACCTAAGTAATTTCGGATACATTTCTAAATTTCATTTGTGCTTATTTCAATTCAAATCCAAATATAGTCGATGGTCGGAATGTTGTTGCGATTAAACATGTGAGAGGAAGGATTGACTAATTGATAGCAAATGAACTTCCTCGGAACACAACAAGCAAATTGTTGCTAAGTGGGAATTGAAATCGGAAACAGTTTGTATGGAAACAACTATCCGAGTCGGTTTTATGCGACTAAACGGTTCTTGATCTACAACAATTAATGTTGATTAGATCAATTTCCAAACCCGTGATCTAAGTGTTGCACTTGGGTATTCGATATACAACTTAGTCGCAAGGATTTGTCCTTGTAGACAAAGTAACCGATGTGAATCCCGAAGGGTAAATCTATTTCGATAATCCGAAGAATGCTAGTCAAAGCGAATGCCTAAGGCTGATTTGATCAATTGAATTCTCAGGATTCTACCTTTCTTTATTTTCTTTAAATCAATTTTCCTTGTTTTTATTCTTCAACCACAATACCTCCCATTTATTTATTTCTATTTCACGCCTAAAGCTCAGAGTCAAAAGACAAAGAATTTCGTCAATCTCCTTAGTCCCGGTGGGTTCGACCATATTTCTCTTATGCTACATTAATTTTCTTATTTATTTATTAGAGAAGAAGGAATTTATTTTGACGTGCAAAACGGCACCCGTCAGATATAGATGTGCCTAACAGCCTTATTTTTATACTTTGTTAATTCATGTAATATATTTATTGTTTAATTTAATTTCTTTACATTCAATTGTTCTAGGTAGGGATGAGTATGGGACTGAATCCGATCGGGTCGGGTCGACTTTTTTAAAGGTGGTTTTAGGGTCGGATTAGGCTCATATTTAGGGTGAAAATTACCTAACCCGACCCAAAAAATATATAATTATATAAAGGGATAATTACAATAATATCCATCTATATATTATTTTTTAATTAAATCTCTATTTTTATTGTATAAAAAATAATATTTTTTTATATTTTTAGGTCGGGTCAAATCGGGTTGGGTGGAGGGTGTAAAATTTTTGGTCAGGTCGAATTGGCCGAAATCCGACCTAAACCCAACCCATGCCCATCCTAGTTATGGTAGGAGAATATAGCAATTTTCTTTATTGGATAGGATTAAGAAGTTAATCAATGCACTAAAAACTACATAAACAAGTATTGATTTAAATAAATTGAAAAATTGATTATTACTTTAAAATAATATATGAAATTTACTTCCATCGTACTCTTGTTTTTTGATGTTTAGTTTTAATTATCGAAATAAAACATACATATTTTATATTATAAAATTGATAAATAAGATCTTAAATGATTAATTTTTTATATAGTTATAAGAAAATATTTTAATTATATATTTAGTTTACAATTAATTATAATGAACACATTTTATCATTTTAATAAAACTAACAACTTTTATAAAAAGTAATCACATAAAACATAGAGAAACACCCAACCACTGTATATTTTCAACTCCCCTGGCCCAATCCCAGTATACCATTATAGCTTCTTAAGCTTTATCAATAATAAATACTACATTGGTTCCACTAAATCTTCCTTTTATTGACTTTTTAAAAGTAAAAAAAATCAAACTTTGATTACAATTATTTTAAATATTTAAAAAAATTTATTAAATTTATATTTCAAAACTATTTGATTAAATGTTTCTAAAATATTTTTGTGTATTTTTATCAGTAATAAAATTTAAATAATAATAAGTCAAATAGACAATTTAAATGGGACAAAGAGAGTATAAAACTATTTATAAAATCAAACAAATGAGATTATTTAATTATGAGATAAATAATTTAATTTTATAATAAAAATTCGATTCCTATGATCATAAATTAATTTGTGAAGATTAATTTGTTAAACATAAATCCAAAATATTATTTTTTTATTAATTTAAGGTGATTATAAAGTAATATATGTTCAAAATACTCTCATCCATTTGACAATGAATGTTTAATCACCCTGCTGTAGTCGTTGGTGCTCGAACATGTGACCTCTAGGAATAGCAACGTTCCTTTAACTACTGAGATGAGTTTGATAAAATATTGGGAATGTTATGGACTCTGTCGAATTATCATGAGTCTACAACTTAAAAGTATTTATGATAAACTATAATGTGTAATTTAAAATAGGGTAAATTATGCATTTACTACTTAAATTATCAATTTTGGTCTATTTTAGTACTTAAACTTTCAGTTTTTTCAAAATCATATCTCATGTTTAGTTTTTTTTTTCATTTTA